ATTCTAAAATTTATATGGAAACGCAAATGATCATGAATTATCAAAGCAATTTTACAAAAGAAGAATAAAGGTGAGTGAGTTACATTGCCTATTTCCAGAATTACTATAGAAGTAGAGAACTCAAGGTAGTGACATATTGGTGAAAAAATAACATATAATAAATGGAACAGAGGGAGAGTCCAGAAATAGATCCACATCCATGTGGTCAATTGATTTTCAGCAAAAGTACCAAGGTAATTCAAAGGATAAAGTTAATTATTTTCAGCAAATGGTAACAGGAAAACTATATTTCTATGTGAAAAAATATCAAACACTTATCTCACATCCTACACAAATATAACTGAAAAGAGATCATAGACATAAATGTAAAAGTTACAACTATAAAACTCCTCAAAAGAAAATGTAGGAAAATAATTTTTGCAACCTTGAGTTAGGCAATGATTTCTTAGAGAAGATATTAAATGTATTTATATACATATTATATAAATATATAGTGATGAGATATATTTATAAGTAATAATCCTATATACATATATTTATGTAAACTCGTATATCCAAAATTGAATCTATTAAGAGAACATAAAGGGAAGCCACAGAATAAGAGAAATTATATTTATTTCCAGCAAAGGACTTGTCTCTAGAATATATCATTAAGTCTAATAATGAATGAAAGAATTGGTCAAAAGACTTGAAATACTTCACAAAAGAAGATATGTAGGGGCTGGCCCCTTGGCCGAGTGGTTAAGTTCATGCGTTCCACTGCAGGCGGCCCAGAGTTTCGTTGATGCGAATCCTGGGTGCGGACATGGCACTGCTCATCAAACCACGCTGAGGCAGCGTCCCACATGCCACAACTAGAAGGACCCACAACGGAGGATATACGACTATGTACTGGGGGGCTTTGGGGAGAAAAAGGAAAAAAAATAAAATCTTTAAAAAAAAAAAAGAAGATATGTAAATGGCCAAAAAACACATGAAAAGATACTGAACTCAGCCATGAGGGAAATTAATAATACAGCGAGTTACCATTACATGTCCATTATCATGGCTAAAACTAAGAAGAGTGAAAATATCACACGTTGTGAGGATGTAAAACTAAAAGTCTCCTACACTTGTGGGAATGAAAAATGGTAAAACCACTTTGAAAAGGTGAATCACAGTTAAATATATGCCAGTCATATGAACAGCCATTCTGCTCATAGGTATTTACACAATACATCCACACAACAATCTGCACAATGAGTATCGATAATAGCTTTATTCATAATAGCCAAAACCTGGAAAATACACAGATATGCATTACTGTTCAGGTGAATGTATAAATAAACAAGATATATTCATTCAAAGGAATACTATTTAGCAAAAAAAAGGCATGAACTGATGCATGGAATAATATGGCTGGATTTTAAAATCATTGTGCTGCATGAAGGAATGCAGACACAAAAGAGTACAGGTATAGTTCTATTTATATAAAGTTGTTAAAAATTCAAATCCATCTATGATAACAGTGGTTGTTGGAGGCTGAGGGTTGAGCAAGTGACGGACTGCAAAGGGGCACAAGGCATGCTGTGAGATAATGGAGATGCCCTGCATCTTGATGGTTGCAGTAGCTTCATTAGTGTTTACATCCGTCAAAATGCATTTACTTCTAAACTTTAAAGTGGTGCAGTCTGTTGTACCTAAGTTGTACCTCAATAGCATCCATACAATAATCTATTTCTCCTTACTAGCACTGAGTATTTTGAAAATGAAATTCAATAAACACAACAGAGATTAACATACACAATCACTAACTGCTTAAGAACACATACAATGAAGACCCCTGAAAACTAGTGCTGAGAGAAGTTAAAGACCTTGATAGATAGAAAAATTATATCAAATTCATAGATTGAAAGATTCGATATTGTTAGAAGGTCAAATCAACATTATTTCAATTAATAACGCAGCAGGCATTTTGGGGGGAAAGTTACAAGCTAATTTTAAAACATATACGGAAATCAAAGTACCTAGAACAGCCAAGACAACCTTGAAGAAGAACCGAGTTGGAGGACTCACTTTACTAGATTTCAAAGCTACAGTAATTAAGACACTGTTGTATTGGTGGAATTAAACACAACACAAATATATCAATATGAAAGAGTAGAGTAAAAATAATTACCCACAAACATATACGATTATTTGATTTTTTTTAAAGAAGTCACCAATACTCTTCACTGGAGTAATAAAAGACTTTTCTGTAAAAGGTGCTAGAAAGAATAAATATTTTTTAAAAATAATTTAATATTAAAAACCACTTCTCACCATACATTGAAGTTAATTGGAGCTGTGAAAGTAAAAATTATAAAGCTTTGAAAGAAAAATGGAAAATTTGTATGACCAAGGTATAGAGAAAGATTTCTTTGAATTTCTGGAGTTATTCATTAATAAGGCAAATATCTGAAAAGATAAGTTAGATCCCTGCCTCATGTCACACATCAAAGCAAAGTCCATATGGATTAAGGATTAAATGTTAAGTATAAACCCACAAAAGCACTAGATGAATAATTAGGCAAATATGTTTCTGATTTGAAACCTCTATAGGCATATATTAAGGGAAAATTCTACTATGGACAAGCTTGATAAAACTGAATATCAAGAAAAAACACCTTTGTACATGCAAAAATAATTGAAAGATAGACATCAAATGGGAAAGATAAAAAAAGCTCTTATACGTCAATTATAAAAAGCAAATACCCAAGTAGAAAAATAGTAAAGAATTACAAACAAATAACTCGCAAGACAGAAATGGAAAAAAGTCAAATAAACATATGAAAAAGTTCAGCTTCAAAAGGAAGAAATCTACAAAAGAAAACGTATAATATGAGAAGTACAGTTTAAAAATGGAATGCCACATTTGCCTATTAGATTGGCAAATTGACAAAACCTCGTAGTAATATAGAGTCAGAGAAGGGTGCACTGCCATGACTTACTTTGCATAGCCTTTCACTCAAATCTACAAACCTCTCTTGGGTAGCCCTTAAGATGTGAATCCTCAAGCTTTCTTTGAAGTATTTGAAGTTAATGAAGCTTCCATCTCATTTCTTTTCATGTGTACAAGAATGTACATTGTAGTCTTTTTTTCCTAACAGTCAAAAAGACTTCCAATAATAACTTCTAATAATAGGAAATTAGTTATATAGATTAGGGTCCATCCAAGTAATAACCAATAAACACTGCTAAAAATGTCGTGGAGTAATACGCAATAATGGAGAAATTTTTGACGATGTAGTCTACAATTATTAAACAACTTATAAAACCATATACAATATAAGTTTAAACATTTGGGTTTAAACTATAACTATATAAGCATAAAGTTTTAAAAAGATTAAAATTTTACCCATCCTCTTAAGAAAGAAAATGCGTTTGTTTGGGAAACTATTTGGAGAAAAAGTGGGGACTAAATATAGGTAGAACAATTCTGTTACAAATAGGTGTGAGATAGTTATTATGCTAAAGAGGGAGGTTTAGGGAAAGAGGAGCCAAAAGTGTGGCTAGAGACATTCTTCAAAATATAAGCCCCTCCAAATCTTCACTAAAGGAAATAAAGTCATAAGATACTTAAATGTGAGTGGATTTTTTACAGAAATTCACAAAGAGCTTTGGCTCTCAGCTGAATATTGTACATACCACCCTGAGCCAGCAGATGTGGACATAGAGGCGTAGAAACAGAGAGAAATGAGGAAGTCAGCCCTCAGAAACCTAAGAACTCATGGTTGGAAGGGTGGTGAGGGCAGATGGGAACCTGTGCTTTACAGATATGGAATTGGTGCTTGTGTCCCATTTAATCAGCTCTTGCCTAGTTGACATCTGGGTTATATGTGTATTTTTAGATAAAAAGACTAGAAGGATCCATAGCAAAAAATGAACTGTGATGAGGGTTTATGAGAATTATGAATGTTGGTTTTTTTGACCTTTGGGTTATTCATTGCTTCTAAATTTGTCTAGAAAGAATATATGTTAACTTTTATAATAAAAAAATTCTATTTTAAATTTCTTTTTAAAAAATGAAGGCTATTACAGAATCATATCTGTGTGCTGCTTTTATTAATTGACTTAAGTGACATTAAATAATTAATTGATTGATTAAATGACTTCATAGATTCCTTCTACTGCAAAATAGTTCAAAATGCATGAACAAAAGAAAAAGATGGAAATGTCACCACATCCAGGCCCTAATTCTCCCATCCAGGATCTTACTTAATGAACTCTGTTTCATCATACTTCTCTGCGGTGTGTTATGTTGCCTACAGGCAAAGGAATCTCATGGCTCTTCTTGGACAATGGTTTAGCTTCATGGCTACCCAAATTTCTAATACCCAGGGGACCTAAGAAGTGGGCACCAGTGAAAGAACTTCACAAAGATGGGAAATCAGGTCAGGAAAAATTACAGCATAATCACTACTGCATATTTGTGTCTTACAACAACTTGAAAGATATTCAGTTTTTTACAGCTATACGTAGGCTGGAAACTGCTTTGCCTTTTTACTCCAATTCTCTAAATTAGCTGTAGTGAGTACATTAAGGGCAGCCTCCATAAGGTCAAAAGTCAGAATACCCCATCCTTGAAAGTCTCTAGGCAAGGTGCTAGGGTGTATATATTTCAATAAGACATCTTCCATGCTAATCAAGGAGCTTATAATTTCCTAGATGGAAGTACACATGGATAAAACAACTCTGTGGGGTTTCTCAAAGATAAGTACAAAAGTGTCCCATCATGAATAAGAGAATCATTTCATTGAGTTGTGAGACCAGGAATGAAGATGGATTAAAGAGGGAAGAATTTAAGCCTGTCCTTAGAAATAAAGGACCAATTTTCAGATGGAGATGGGGGTTCTTTCTTGAAGTCTCCCATGTTTTAATCTGTCCTGTCATTTGTAACATCTACCTGATATTAATTTTTCATGGTGGCTTAAGTGGGAAATATGCATAGAGTACAATCATTTTTCATTCTTTGCTTCTAGGTGTCGACTCATTGGCTCCCCATCTGCTGCTTGTCTCCTCTCAGGCAATGACGTCACTTGGGATAAGGAGGCACCTCTTTGTAAGAGTCAGTTGAAATGTTTTTTCTCACAATTCCCTCCATTTGATCCATATTTGCCCCTGGAGTTACAAAGAAGAAATCCAATCCATCTCACACAGGGCTGTCTCTCAGATATTTGAAAATTGGAGTCACATGCTGCATGGTTCTTCTGGTGTTTCTCTATTTTAAGAGGTAATTTATCTGAACAGGTGGAATTGAATTCACATAAAAATCACCCTACTTTCCTGTTTTGATAGTAAAACCTTTCCAGTATAAAGATCATTCTCCTAGTGATTAAACTTAAAAGACGTTAGAGAAAATTAAATTACAATCCCAAGAAGTAGATTGCTTCCTTCCTTATTATTCTTACTCTGAATGATGAAAGAAGGTCTTATAATTCTTAGCAATTTCCCCCAAGCCTCCGGTCATTCTGCATTTTATTCTTCCTTCAAATTCTTCCAGGCTCATACCCTAGTTGTATTTGTCCTTGATTAGTTGACTGCCCATCTTGTCAATGGGATATTATAAATTGAACCTCAAGACTTTGAGGAACATGGAAGAATGACTGATTGCAAACTGGTAAAGTGTTAAAACTATGAAGAAATCAGTATCACACACAGAGTTGATGGCAGTAAAAGTGGACAGAAATCCCTGGAAGGCTAATGAGCAATATATACAAAAGACTTAATGCAAATATCCTTTGACCTAGCAATTCCATTTCCCAGAATTTATCCCAACAAAATAATCATGGAATTTTCCTGTGATTTTGGTTCAGAGACACTCAATACAAGAATATTTATGACCATGGAAAAAGTTAAAAGTCTAAATGTTCAGCAAGGTTTTAAAATAGCTAACAGAAGAAATAAGACATTAAAAATAAGTATGAAAAGTTTTAAGAAAAGTATAAAATGTACCATGACGAATTATAAATTGAGATGCCTCATCCAAGTAGAGCTAGATAGTGGATCTATATATCTACATTCCTGAGTATAATTCAGCCACCAAATATGACAATGTATAAAATATATCCATAGACATACGTTCATGAGCACATATACATATCTGAAATGATATACATTAAATTGTTAAGAATAGTTATTTTGGGACCAGTATTGTGTTCTTCTTTTTGTTTGTCCATATTTTACAAATTTCCTACAATGAATGTGTTCATTGTATGCATAAGTATTCACCAAAAGAAAATAATAGTAAACACATCAGCAGTTGCCAGGGGTTGGGGTGGGGGTAGGATTAATAAGACAGAGCACTGAGGATTTTTAGGGCAGTGAAAATATTCTGTATGATATCATAATGATGGATACATGTCATTACACATTTGTCCAAACCCACAGAATGTGCAACACCAAGAATGAACCCTCATGTTAACTATAGACTTGGGTGATTATGATGCGTCAATGTAGGTTCATCAATTGTCACAAATGTACAGCTCTGATGCAGTGATATTGATAATGGGGGAGGCTATGCATGTATGAGAGCTGGATGATGTGGGAAATCTCTGTACCTTCTCCTCAATTCTGCTCTGAACCTAAAACTGCTGTTAAAAAACTTATCTTAAAAACAATTAAAAGCTAAGCTGTTGTTTACCACACTCTCCCTTTCTCCAGGTTTACCTTGTGACCACCCCCAGCCATATGCAATGGAGACTACTACAGCAGCAATAGAAATGCTTTTCAATATGCAACAGTGGTCACTGTGTTGTCTCATTGGGCCAGATAGAGAAAAGCTGTTTGACTTCGTGGAAGAGTAGTCAATATCCTGTACCAGCAAAGACAATCAACTGGATATTTGGAGCAGCCCTCCTCCTCAGTGTGTTTCTGCTAATAAGTACACTCCAGAAGTTGAAAATGGAATTAGATTATTTGGAAGTAGGAGTTTATATTCCTTAAATGTGATTGTGAGATTTACATGTCAGCCTGGCTTTGTCATGAAAGCACCCCACACTGCAATGCTGGGCCAACAACACATGGGTGCCTGAGATGCCAAGCTGCTCCAGGGGTGAGTTTCATCTGTTCATCTCTGCTGGGGGTCTGTGCAGGAGTGTAAATGATAAGAGTTGTTGAAATTAAAGAAGGTAAGTTTATGAGTGTGTATGCATGCACAAGAACGATGAAATTGTTATCAACACCCTAAACGTTACTATGTTATCTCTGACAGTAATAAGTGTCAAAAAGTATTGGCTCACTCTGTGTCATCTGTAACACACACATTTTATATGCAGTATTTAATTTAATACTTAGAGCAAACACATGAGGTAGGAGCTATTCTTATCCCAATTTTACATTGAGAAATCTGAGTCTTAGAGATGTTAAATAACCTTTCCCAGGTCGCAGAGCTAGTAAATAACAGAATGAGGCCTAGAATTCAAGCGCCCTTCTGATGGCAGAGCCTAATGATAATGTATAGTGAAACGTACGATGAATATAATGTATGATAACAGTGACATAGATCTATCATTGGAAGGGTCAGTAGGTAAATGAGCCACAGGACCTAAATGTTAGCATCAGATTAAAAAGGCCTTAGACTTCAGGCATTCTGTTCCAACTCTCCCACGTTTTTACTAAAAACTCTGAAGCTCAGAAAGGAGAAATGACTGGCTCAAATACAGCAAAGATTTTTTTAATTTTTATTCTGTTACAGGCATGTGCTGCATAATGGTGTTTTGGTCAGTGATGGACCACACATACAATACAGGGTCCATAGATCAGTACCACAAAGCCTAGATATATACAGATGGCTATACCATCCAGGTTTGTGTAAGTACATTCTGTGATGTTCACACAATAACTAAATTGCCTAACAACACATTTCTCAAAATGTATCCCCATCAAGTGGCTCATGACTGTATATATGGTTCAGCTTGAGGGTGATGCCCTGAGCACATACCAACTGGGCTATGGATGAATAAAAAAATGCTCTAAGCAATATCTTCTCTCTTCAGAAGTTCTACGGCTTTTTTCTTTTAAGGGGATCGTGTTTGTGATGGCTTCCCTTGTCCTCTTGTGCTGAAACGGCTGGCTTAGCAGTGGAGGGGGAAGAATCCAGGCTGGCACATAGGGACCAGAAGGGGGCTTACAGTTCTGAAAGAGGAGCTGGGAGGAAAACTGAAGGGGGACGTGTGACTGACTGTACAGTGAGTGAGGAGAGGGGGTCTGTCAGATGAGACTTGGGCAGAGGTGTCCCTTGTTGTTGCCAGAGAGCCTACCTTTCTAGGAAGTGTGAGAGCAGAACCAGCCACCAGCACTCACGGTTCTGTCCTGGATGGCCAGTACTGGAGAGCAAAAGGAATATTCTGCTTGTTGTCTTAGGAACATTTCAGTAGGAAAAAACAGAGAAATTGTTTAGAGAGACCTTGGGCCTAGTCACAGCTCTGCTCTAACACTTCAGTTTGCTGATTCAGTAAAAGTGAATTACCGGACCTTTTCTTTTAAAAGCTATAGTCTGTTGTTAGGATTTTTAAGCTCCGTGGCAGGCAGAGGGTGCAGCAAAAGACATTTTCCTATAACTGACAAAAACTTTGGATCTGTTGTTTCCACAGTGTGCCAGCTGCCTCCAGAAATCCGGCATGGTAAGCACACCCCAAGAAATAAGGATGACCTTTCACTGGGCAGGAAGTGTTCTACAGCTGTGAGCCCAGCTGTGATCTCAGAGGGGCTGCTTCTCGGCACTGTGCACCCGAGGGAGACTGGAGCCCTGCAGCCCTGAGATGTGCAGGTGCCTACACTCTCATCTGGTTTGCAGTCAATCTCTTTGTCCCTCGTACAGCAATCTTATTCAGTTTTTTCCATTCTAGTGAAATCATGTGCTGAATTCCTGGACCAACTGTCTAATGGCCATGTGCACTTTCCACTTAATCTCCAGTTCGGGGCAAAAGTGTCCTTCATTTGTGATGAGTGGTGAGTGTGACCTGAAATAGAGACTCAGGGACTCAGCACTGGATAGTCACTCTCTTGGGTTCAAGGAGTAATCTAAAAAGTGGGGCTGACCAATGGAAAAGAAGTACCCAGGGAGATTAATTTTTTGGTAGGTTTGAAATAAGGGTAAGGACTCAGTGACACCACTATTAGGAGATAAAGAAAATGGCTCATGTAGTGAAGGTCAAGTACAAACATAAATATAGACACTGACCTTGAATTCATGGTTGGAACTTGAAGTAAATGGGTAAAGAGCTGTTTGGAGGCAGGAAAATGTAATTATGTGGAAAATTTTTTGGTAAAAAGTTTGATGTATACGACAAAAATTGTTTGGAATGTGATGTCAGGCAAGATTGTTTCAGGAAACTTAAAACCAATCAATAGTGGAATGTGTAACAGTTTATGGATAAGTATTTTTAATCCAATCATGTATCTTCACATAAATAATGTCTTTGACACTGGGATCTAATGGCCAATGTTATTGTTTCAGATAGTATTATTAGACGTTTGTGTGGATCTTATACTCACGGTGGTCTGCACTATCTGTCTGTGGGAGGTAATGAGATTGAGCAATACAACAGATATTTTAATAATTTTCAAGGAATTTTTGACATTGACAAAGCCTACCACCCAATAATGATCAGCAGATTTCAGAAGGACAACTATATCCGATAACAAGCTGGGCTGTTCAGGGTGGCAAACACTCCTTCTCTCATCCCTCTTTGTTTCCTAGAGCATTTGGCCCATATGCTTCTGTGACTCTCTTTCTGGCCATTACAAAAGTGGTGGCAAGAAGAACAATACTGTTCCCTTTCCAGATGTTCTTTGCTTTGCTCACCCAGATGGAGAGCTGTTCTTCCTCACGACTGATTAATGAGACTAAGTGGGATGTGAGAGGGCTGTCAGTGCGAGACGGCTGTGGGTCTAGTGCACAGGAAGGAGTGCAGCCTGTGCTCAGTGACTTCTGTAGGTGACACTGGGCTATGATGTCTGTATAACTATTAGATGTACAAGTTCTGATTGCCTTGCATGTCACAGGATATTGTGATTCTTTAGAATAATTTGGCTTCTGAGTTTCTGCCAGCTACTGAATTCAAGTCCCTAATGAACTGAGACTTTCAGCTGGGCCTGAACCTAAGAACCAAATGGTATTTAGGCTGAAATGAGAAAGCTGAGCGTCTATCACTGACGAGATGAAGGGAGAGATGGAAATTGCTCACCCTTATTTTTCTTTAGGTTCCGATTAAAAGGCAGCTCCACTAGTCGTTGTGTCTTGGTTGGAATGAAAAGCCTTTGGAGCAGCAGTGTTCCTGTGTGTGAGCGTGAGTAGAAGAAACAACTATGCAGCATGGATATCCCCCTTATTTTTTTTCCAGCGTGTTTTGCCTCGTGGAATCACCTGTTGTCTGGATCTTTTTTAACTAAAATGCTGATAAAATACTTCTTTGTTGGAAGAATTTCAAAGGGGTCTTGTAGGTCTTAGACATCATGTGTTTATGTTACTAATCTGTAAATCACTAATTTGATGTAAGTGTTGAATTTTGTGGGGAATATGTGGTGAGAAATTAGATGATGTAAAGTTACACCAAAACTTATTTATTCGTTTATATTTTAGTTTCACCATCATGGGGTAAACTCTCTTAAATGTTTATGTCCTTTAATCCCCCCACATCTCTAAACTACTTATTCAGCCTGCTATTTAGTCCGTAGTATTTACTGAGGAAGGGCTTCCCATGGGCCAGGACTTTCCATGTGGGGAGAGGACTGAACAGGAAGGTCTTATCCCTGCTCTCATGGAGTTCAATCTTCTACTTGGGGAGGCATCGATGAACAAGAAAGTAAATAGGTAAACAAACAAAAAATAGAATATGTAAAAAGGTACGTTAAAAAGTGATGTGTTATAGAAAAAAATAAAACAGAGTTATATGATAAGTTAGTATGGTGCAGAGAGGTGAGTCAATATTTGAAATGATGAGCTGAGGTGCCCTAAATTTCAAAACCACCCACTTAAATAAAACATACCAAAGATTCAGAAATTGATAAATAGATAAAAAGTGTTTTATAGACCAAGACATTACTGATTTATTCTGCTCTGTTTGTTAAAAAAAAGCAAGACTTTTTTCATCGCTTTTCCCTAATGATTTAAAATTGTTCATTTTAATTTGGATTTTGTTAAAACACCTTGCTAGAAAACTATTGGACATCTTATGGGATTACGGTGGAACTTTATAAGAACATTCAATGTGTATAAAACTCAGACATCCAATAAACTCAGCCTTCCTGAAACACAGAAAGCTGAAAATAAGTATATAAGTAAACTTTGGATAAACACAAACACACAGTTAAAAGCAAGTATGGGAAGTCAATCATTGTTTGATGCGTTAAGGCCTTCACTTTGTTTATTCGCATGGTTCTGACAAGCTTGGGAATCTCTTCCAAATCCATATCAGATTAGAAGCATCAAATTAGTCTCAGAGAGAGAACTGCTAGAAACCGATACACTAAAAGCTGGAAAAAATTACACCTGATAGCTTGGAGGAAATAAAAACTCGAAAAACATTGAAGGCTTGCTGGACCTTTTCTTTTAAAAGCTATAGTCTGTTGTTAGGATTTTTAAGCTCCGTGGCAGGCAGAGGGTGCAGCAAAAGACATTTTCCTATAACTGACAAAAACTTTGGATCTGTTGTTTCCACAGTGTGCCAGCTGCCTCCAGAAATCCGGCATGGTAAGCACACCCCAAGAAATAAGGATGACCTTTCACTGGGCAGGAAGTGTTCTACAGCTGTGAGCCCAGCTGTGATCTCAGAGGGATTAATCTGGCTATAAAGAGCCCAATGGTCAACCCAGGACTCTTACAATGCCCTCACATAAAGTAGGCTAGCAAATGGTTGCTGAAAAAAACAAATTAATTACCTTCCAAAATGATTAAAAACTTAGCTACCTGGAGGGTCTTTTGGACTTTTATAAGAAACTGTCGTTTAAGTCTCACCTTAGTTAGTTTCTTCTCAGAAAATGCCTTATATATTTAAATTGCATCCACCTTAGTAATGTCTTCATAGAAAAAATTGTATTCATAATGCAGTCCCAGGGCACCGGTGTTGTATAAACATTTTCTTTTCTGAGATAGCCACATGGTGGAGATGTTGACCTCCCAGCCCTCCTCCCACCTCCATGCACTAGAAGAAGCTATTCACTGGGATGGAAAACAAAAAAGAAATTCACATTTTGGAGGAAGAGTCTGCCTTCAGGCTAGATATGTTGAGCTTGAGCTACAGTGGGGTGTCCATATGGATCAGATAGACTAATGCTCCCTAAACCTTACTGTGTGCAGGAATCATCTGGATGTTGTTAAACTGAAGTCTGGGTGGTTCAGGAAGTCTGGGTGGGGCCTGGGGGTCTGTGTTTCTAACAAGCATCGAGGGAACGCCCATGCTTCTGGTCCCTAGACCACACTTTAAGTGGAAAGGATGTAAACTGTTGGAAATGTAGATCTGGAACCCATAGGAGGATGGAGGTGTCCTCAGAATCTAGGTCACAGCTCAAGCCCTGATAGTAGGCAAAATCCCCAGCGAGAGGCCACCCAATGGGGAGGGTATTTCCTAGGGCTGAGCAGTAAGGGGCTCCCCTACTGGCAGGTCTAGAAGCAGGCAAGGAGCCTGAAGGAGAGTAGAGAAGAACAAGTGATCAGAGGAGTAGGAGGGGAGACAGGATAAAGCTGCATCTGGGAGTTTCTAGAAGAAGGAAGGGCTCCATTATTGTATAATCATTCTTCTTGAAACTCTAATGGAAGCTAAAGCTCTGTGTTCTTTCTAGAAATCTTTTGTCCCAATCTGGCTATCAGGAACTACACAAGAACTTCTCTGGGAGACATCCCCTATGGAAAAGAAATTGCTTATACATGTGACCCCTACCCAGACAGAGGGATGAATTTCAACCTCATTGGAGAGTGCACCATCAACTGCACAAGTGACAGCCAAGGGAATGAGATTTGAAGCAGTCCTGCCCCTCGCTGTGAAATTTCTGGTTCTGTTAGTCAGTGCACATTTCCCCATGCTCCAGATAGATCAGAATATCTAGGTGAGAACCTCCATATTTCTATAGTGACAGTAATTTTAGCTTGTTGGCATGGCTTTGTTGTGAATGTCAGACACAAAATTACCTGCTGGGTGAATGAATAATAGATGGGTTCTAGATGGGCCACATTGTGTCCCAGTTGGTGGTATTATGATGACCATGCTGGAGTGAGGAGTGTGGGATGGTGAGGAGAGGAGGGAGTGGAGAGCAGAATGAATCAGCCAGGCCCAGATTTTGAAAATGTAGCTGATCTACATAATACACATATATAAGCACAGAGAACTAGGCAAAATGAGGAGACAAAGGAATATGTTCCAAATAAGGGAACAGGACAAATCCTCAGAAAAAGAACTAAAGGAAACAGAGATAAACAATCTACTTGATAAAGAGACAAACTAATAATCAGAAGGATGCTCAATAATCTTGAGAGAAGAATAGATGGACAGTGAGAACATCAAGAAAGAATTGGAAAGTATAAAAAAGAACCAATAAGAACTGAAGAATACAATAATGGAAATGAAAAATTCACTAGAGGGAATCAACAGCAGAGTAGATGACACAGAAGAATGGATCAGCACTCAGGATGAAAGAGTAAAGGAAATAAACCATGCTGAACAGAAAAAAGAAAAAAGAATGAGGACAGTCTAAGCATCTGTGGGACAACATCAAGTATACTGATATCCTTATTATAGGTGTCCCAGTAGAAGAGAGAGACAAAGGGGCAGAGAACCTGTTTGAAGAAATAGTCGCTAAAAACTTCCCCAACCTCAGGAAGAAAGCAGACGTCCAGCTACAGGAAGCACAGAGAGTACCAAACAAGATGAACCCCAAGAGGCCCACACCAAGACACATTATAGTTAAAATGTCAAGAATTAAAGGCAAAGAGATAACTCTAAAAGCTTCAAGAGAGAGGCAGCAAGTTACATACAAAGGACAACCCATATGGCTGACTTCTCAGCAGAAACGTTACAGGCTAGAAGGGAGTAGCACAATACATTAAAAGTGCTAAAAGGAAAAAAACTTACAGCCAAGAATACTCTACTAGGCAAGTTTATCATTCAGAATGGAAGGAGAGATAAACAGACTTACAGACAAGCAAAAACTAAAAGAGTTTATCACCACTAAAGCAGCCTTACAAGAAATGTTAAAGGGACTTATTTAAGTGGGAAAGAAAAGAGAAAAAATAGGAATAAGAAGATTATCAAAAAAAAAAAGTCACTGGTTAAAGCAAATATAGAATAAAGGTAGTGGATCAACCACTGATAAAACTAGTATGAAGGTCAAAAGAAAAAAGTATTAAAAATATCTATCTCCATCATAAGAGGATAAGGGATACACCCACACACAAAACAGGTAAAATATGAATATAAAAAACATTAAATGGGGGGAGGGGAGTAAAAGTGTAGAGCAAGAGGTCAAACTTAAAAGACCATCAGCTTCATGTAGGTTGCTATTTACAAGAGTTATTATATATGAACATCATGGAAATCATAAATGAGAAATGCAGTAAATAAATACACAAAAAATAATAATAAATAGACAAAAAATAAAGAGAAAAGAATCCAAACATAATATTAAAGAAAGCCATCAAATCACAAGGGAGATGAGCAAGAGAAGAGGAAAGGAACAGAGAAGAACTACTAAAACACCCAGAAAAAAAGTATCAAAATAGCAATAAGTACATAGTTATCAATAGCTCCTTTAAATGTCAATGGACTAAATGCCCCAATTGAAAGACATAGGGTGGCTGATTGGATAAAAAAACAAGACCCGTATATATGCTGCATACAAGAGACACATTCCAGACCTAAAGACATTCATGAAATAAAAGTGAGGAGATGGAAAAAGTTACTCCATGAAAATGGAAATGAAAAGAAAGCTGGAGTAGCAGTACTTATACCAGACGAAATAGACTTTAAGACAAAAACTGTCACAAGAGATAAAGAAAGTCACTACATAATGATAAAGGGAACAATCCAACAAGAGAATAAAACTTGCAAATATCTATGCACCCAAAAATAGAAGCACCTAAATATATAAAGCAATTATTAACAGACATAAAAAAGAAACTGACAGTAACACAATAATAGTAGGAGACAATAACACTCCACTTACATCAATGTTTAGATCATCCAGACAGAATATTAATAAGGTAATTTTGGCCTTGAATGACACATTAAGACCAGATGGACTTAGTTGACGTATACAGAAAATTCCATCCCAAAACTGTAGAATACTCTTTCTTTTCAAGTGCACATGGAACATTCTCCAGAATAGATCAAATATTAGACAATAAAAGAAGTCCCAGTAAATTTGAGAAGACTGAAATAATACCAAGCATCTTTTCTGACCCTACCAGTATGAAACTAGAAATCAACTACAAAGAGAAAACCAGAAAAGCCAAAAATATGTGGAGAGTAAACAAAATGCTACTGAACAACTATTGGGTCAACAAAGAAATCAAATGAGAAAACAAAAAATACCTAGAGACAAATGAAAGTGAAAATACAACATACCAAAATTTAAGAGATAGAGCAAAAGCAGTACTAAGAGGTAAATTTATAGTAATACAGGCTTACCTCAAAAAACAAGAAAATTCTCTAATAGCAATTGAAGTGTAGACCTAAGGGAACTAGAAAAAGAAGAACAAACAAAGCCCAATATCAGTAGAAAGAAGGAAATAATAAAAATCAGAGTGGAAATAAATGAAATAGAGACTTAAAAAACAATAGGAAAAAGTCACTGAAATGAAGAGCTGGTTCTTTGAAAAGATAAACAAATTGACAAACCTTTAGCTAGACTCACCAGAAAAAAAGAGAGAAGCCTCAAATAAATAAAATTAGAAACAGAAGAGGAGCAATTACATCAGATACCACATAAATACAAAGGATTATAAAAGAATGCTATGGAAAGCTATACACCAACAAATTGGATAATCTAGAACAAACAGATAAGCTATTAGAACCAAGACCCTTGAAGCACCTTATGGATAGAGAAGTAGTCACACTAAAAGAATTATGTATGATACAAAGAACACTTTTTCTAAAGCTTAAAATTTTAAGAAGGACTGGAGTTTTACAAAAGAAAAAATGGGCAGAAGGAATTTTTACAAAAGTATTGATGAAGCCATTGGTATCCCAGTTTTGCTGAGACATTCCAGACTCCGACCTCCACACACAGACCCTGTCAGGGCTCTGGAAGTTAGGTGGTGGGTCCCACTGGCACACATATCACAGGCTGCCAGTGTGGACAAATCGAGGCTTTGCTCGAAGTCAATGAGATCAATGTTACAAACTTGAGGAGCAAACTCTATACCCATGAGGAAGTGTATAACTTTATGCGAACAACTTTTTATACAAAACGTTCTGAACAAATGCAGTCTCTTACAAGGAGCTTTACAGAAATTGAAGTTTGGAAATTTCACAGAGGATGCCAATATAAACTTTCTAAAAGCAGAATATCACAGCAAAACTTCTTACAAACATTCTAGTCAGGAACTCAATTTTATGATAAAATAATTAGCAGAGATTTAATTTAAGTTAAATCTTTACCCTTCCTAACTTTCTATATTTTGTGCCTTGACATGTAAATACACTTTGTTTTTCTTCATTACACAAAGAAAATGAAAGTAGCCTGATGCTTTTTATTTTTAAAAGTCCTTGTGTCAATAACCTTTTCCCTTAAAGTTTCTCATTTAGTACCGCTATAATTTATGGGTTAATTTTTTAAATTTAGTCTTTTAAAAAATTAAGGCTAAATTAAAGTAGTTGGGGCTTCTAATTTTCTGTTTCTGTACTGGTCTCCTGTTAAAACCACCCAGGGCGAATGACTCTCTCTTCCTCTTAGATAGTCAAGATGATCCTCCACCTCCTGCTTTCCAACTACTTCCTTCCTCATCCCGGACGGCCTATTCCTGGTTAATCTACTGGAGGATCAAATTCCCAAGACTAACTATTGATTCGTTTCACCCATGTAATTTAAGATCATTCCTCTTATTAGTCACCCTCAGGCATAACTAAGATTCAATGCCATTTCATAAAAATTAGTTCCTCAGACATGATTATCTTACCTTATCTAAACAACCTCAGATCACGTACCATTTCTCCATGCATTCTATGTCTTAAAACCTGCCTCCTCTTTTTTCCATGGTCTTTAAAAGTGTAAAGTCTATGGCACAACCATTCTCTCGCTGAGCAGTGGCAACCAGGACAAGGCAGGAAAAAATCACGGTCCTCTTTAACCTTAAAGGTCAGGGAACAAACCTCCCGATCATCTAAGTAAGCCGCAATTAAACCTATTATATGTGTGTAATCCATGAAAATTTCAAAACATTTTCTAAACTTTCATTTTTGGCCTCTTTCACTTTTTGGAATAACAAGGGGATGATTATAACCAAGTGCCATGTATTTTTGTGTTAGAAATAATGCATGATGAAAATTAGAGGGAGGAGGCACTAAGCTTAAATAATCAGAATGCACAAGCCCCTCCTCTGGAAGCAGTTGGGCTGATTAATCACTTAGTCATACCTGCTTGTGTGGGTGAAGCTGATCAGCTGAGCAGGTGCAGCTCCCTGGGGAGGACTGAGTAGTCTCCTCACAGGAAGAGAAGGGCATAAAGGTCCTCATAGTAAAGAAAGGAAGCCATGTGAGGGACATGCAGTATAAGAGGGGAGAGGACCTTAGTGGTCATCTAGCCAGAAGACCAGTTTACCTCAGAGCCAAAAAGACTGACAGAGATGGAAGAGTGCAGAAGGAGATGGCCTGCTCTGTGGGAGACGCAGGATCAAACCAGGCCTGGAAGGGTGCAGGCTGAAGTCCACCTCTGATGCAGGAGACAATTCAGAAACTACCGATGTTTCATCTGTGCTAACACTTTTGAGTGGTGTTCAGCACTCACTTCATGTAGTAAATACTTCCTGAGCATCTCTCCGTGCCAGGGCCAGTCCTCAGGCTTGTTATGTATCCAGCAGTGAAGACAGACAAAGACCCCTGCCTTTCTGGGGTCTGCATTCTAGTGGAGGGAGAGAGACTAGAATCAAGACACTTTATTCATTCATTTACTCATTCATTACATTAAAGGGGATAAAAAGCCATGAAAAGTAAGATAGACTGGGAATGTGGGTGTGGGAGACATGCAATTTTTAATATGATGGCTAGAGTGGGCCTCAGTGAGGAGGGTTTTAAAGTGAGATCATTTCTGTGTGTGTGTGTATTCTTTCTCTTTCTCATTTTAGTTCTAGTAAATCTACAAACTGCTTAGGTTTTTTTAAAAAAGGAGATTAATATTTTATGCCCTATTTAGACAGGGGAGCAGAAATGAAGTGGCCAGAACGTGATGTTAGCAGGGGAAAAACCAGCTACAAATACTAGTCACCCAGCTGAGGTGGTGTTGAGTATCCAGCAGAAAGCAGCGTCATGATCAATTAACGATATCCTCCAGGGGTTGTGTTGTGTCCCAAGATGTAAGGATTTTTATGGATATAATTGACACTCTTCTCAGGGAATTCTGCGATACTCTACCAATTCAAATAGTACATTTCTGACTTGTCCTAAACTTACCCCAAGTTTCAAGGATGCTCATTGTTTTAGGATACTAACACTGAACCTGGTGAGCCAATCTGTTTTAGACTTATATCACGTTACTGATGATTTCATGTGCCTCCTCAAGTCTCAGCTTTCCCAGATTCAGGATGTCTAATTACTCTGTGCGTTTCCTCCCTCCGCACGCTGGTGGGCTTCCCGCACTCTGTTAAATGATCTCTTGTCCTCTTGGTCTCCACTACACTCCTCACCATCCTCCTCCCCAAACCATGAGCTCCCTGTGAGCAGGGACCACTATAGGCACTCAAAATAATTTTTATTTAACGATTTTTGATCTCCACTTGTTCAGTAGTCAGGATTGATAATAAGAATAGCAACCTCTTGGGGCCGGCCCCATGGCCGAGTGGTTAAGTTCGCATACTCTGCTGCAGCGGCCCAGGGTTTCACTGGTTCGAATCCTGGGCGTAGACATGGCACCACTCATCAGGCCATGCTGAGGCGGCATCCCACATACCCTAACTAGAAGGACCCACAGCTAAAAATACACAGCTATGTACCGGGGGGCTTTGGGAGAAAAAGGAAAAATAAAATCTTTAAAATAAAAAAGAATAGCAACTGCTAAGAAGTTCATTTACAAAATGCTTTGTCATTTATTGACTTCTTTGGTCCTCAGAGCAGCACTGTGAGGAAGGTAGGCTCAATAATGTGGTTATCACAAAGCAGAGAGGACTCTAAGGTGCAGAGAAATTCAGTGACTTGCTTAAAGTCATACCAGTAGCAAGTTGTTGAGAGTTAGGGCTTTAGTCCTAATTATCTGACTCAAAATCTTGAACCCATTTGGCTACTCCATCGACAATTTTAGTTCCCAATTATGAATCTGTTTATATTTCAGTGAAATTCAGTATCCTGAGTTGCGTATAGTACAAAACTGCAATCTTTCCTTTTGTCTTTTAGTTGTCCTTTTTTCCTCCCTCTATTTTATTGGGTTTGTTTTAGCTACTCTGGTATATTAAGCCAGTATCCTTCTAGAGAACAGTATGTAATCTCTTCTTTTTTTACTTTATTATGTGTTATTAGCCTGTAAGAAAATTACAATATTTCTGTAAGGGCCTCTGTCCATATTAGGCCTTAGTGAAAACTTTCCTGTCCATTTACACAGACTTGCAACTTCTTTCCGCAATTTAACCTCACTGGCTTGACATTTCACTGGTGGAAAAAATGCTGTTACCTGCACATTTGATATTTCACTGTGTATTTACTACATCAATAATTCATGACAAATGTTAAACAAGATAAATCTGCACTGATCGCTGAGGAATAATACCATTGGACTCCTCCATTCAGAGCCCATTTATCCTTGCCTCTTGTTTCTCCCTCTCATCCAGCCCCATTTCTATACAAAACATGCTTCTTGTTCATAGATAAAACTTTAAAGACGTCACTGGTATGATGCTTGGAGGGATAAAACTATCACGTCCCCTCTCTCTAAAGCCTCCCTGCATTACCCTGTGTCCACATTAACCCCGTCAACCAACTGGAGAGCCACGCCTTCAGCACACACTCTCCAGGGTGGTATTCTCTCACATCCCTGTACCACTCATCACCCAAGACCTCTTTCAGGCCGTTCTTCCTCTAACCACTGCTCCTTGGAAGCCCATGCCTCCTGACTGTACAACCCTCTACTCTGCCGCATTCATGGTTCTCAGGTTTGCACTTCCTCATCCTGTGAACACTGGCTCCTGACTCACAGTCATCCTCTTTGTCTCCAGGGGTGCTGTCATTCTAATTTCCGTGAGGGTAAAGAGTGAGTGAGCAATGAGGAAGTACTGCTAAGTGGTGGAGTGAGTTAATTCTTTGTGTTTCCATTCATAAATCCCTAAAACCAATGCAAACTTGAAATCTAAAGGTGTTGTATCCTATTATTTATCATTTCACTTATGTAAAATGAAGTGCTTATCAAATAACACCCACAGAGGCAGAGGAGCAGACCAGGTAAGACCACAGGCTTTGCAATCAGTAAGACCTGTGTTCACACTCACTAGTTCTGAGACCCTGAGCAAGATTCTGATCCTCTCTAAACTTCCTTTTCCTTGCCTGTAAAATAGGGATAATAGTTCCTACCTCACTACACAGTGCCTTGCTTAAGATGAATGTCAGAAAATGTGGGCTACTGTGATTTACACATGATTGTTATTACTGACATTCAAAAGTAACTAGATACTTCCTTTTATTGTCAGTTTTCGTATACTTTCATGATAACTAGTGCTGTTCCCCTAATCATAGGTTTTAACTGCACAGAAAACAGAATTTGTATCTGCACTACAAGGGGAAAAGGAAGCCTTGCATAAGACTGCAGTGCAAAGCTATTTACACTGTGAAGCTTAAATGGCACAATCTTGTGGTAAACAATATTTACTAATAAAAATTACTTTGGAAATAGTAAAATGTGTCGTTTTAAGGCACAGATACTTGTCTACAAGCAATTTAGAGTCTTCTGACATAATGTAGAGGATAGTAGTATTTAGTATTATTTCCGAATCCAGGCTTTTACTTAGTCGTGAAAGGTGGAATTTGGTTATGTCTTTCCTTTTAGATATCTTGCAAAGATTTTGAAAATTGAGGCAAAGTATGCCCTAAATTTCAAAATGAAAGCTACTAATTTCTTTCAAAACTTAAATAATTAAGATATTTTTCCTATTTTTTCTCCTCTACCAATTAGCAATAATACCGATGGAAAATCTAAAGAAGTGATTATCCATTTACATCCCCAACAAAGCAGCTGTGTTCATCCTCAAAGTCTGCAAACAAATCGGGAGAATGGCAGGTAACAAGCACACACTGAATTCACAGTGTTCTCAACAACTGGAATAGAGAAAATGAAAACAGGATTTGACTATGATATTGCACTAGCTGGATCACTGATACCTAAGAAGTTAGGAAGTACTTCAGGAGCTGGAAACGCCTTTACTGTTGTCTTTTTTTCTTAGATTATGTTGTTTCCAGTGATTTGGGGTGATGACTCTGTCAGTGCTGTGCACAGACACTGTTTTTTCAAAGCATTCCTAGGTTTTTGTGCATTTATGCTGTGAACCCTTGAGAAGTAGTGAGCTTTTCTTTTTCTGATGGAAGCCAAGCTTTTGCCACTGGGGTGAGCCTCCAAGTCCTCCAGCTTCCCTTAGATGTGCGGCATCTCTAGGGATCCTGTGGAGACCTTCGCTTTACCTCGTCCCCTGCTTTCCGACTTTCTCTGAATTCTCGACCTCACCTGGCCTCCTGTGACTGCTTCTCCTCTCTGTCCTCCTCCACTTGGACTTGTTCCAATTCCTTACCCCTTCATTCCACCTATTCACAGCAGCCTTACTATAAGTTGTTGTGTAGTAAATGCTTAGCCGTTTGCTAAATGTTTGGGGTGAAAAGGGAAGTTATACTTCAACCCTAAGTGGCACACAACATAGAACTCAATATTAGAAATCACTGCATTAAAAGGCACTGTTCTTGAAAATAAAGATTTACTGGACACGGCCACACTCATTCGTTTACCTATTGTCTATGGCTGCTTCCATACAACAGCAGAGTTGAGTAGATGCCACCGAGACTCAGAGACTGCATGGCGCACAAAACCAAAGTACTTACTATCTGGCCCTTAAGGGGAAAAGTTTGCTGACCCCTGAATTCTGTCATACTATGAGGAGCTTCTCACTGCTGGTTCCTCTTTAAGCCTGGCGGGCCACTCTTTTCCCAGGTCTCTCTCACATTAGACACTTGTCCCTTTTGTTCAAATCTTTAATGCGTTCTCAGGGTAACTTCATTTTTCCTTATCAAATAGAGCAATTCTGCTGGTCCTTCCCTACTCTGGCTACACACAGGAGTCCTAAAATTTCCCATCCAGAAGATCCTCAGAGCATTATCGGAAACAACTGCACTGAAAGCCCTGAAAAGATATTAGGTCACTCCTGTAGAAAGCAGCATTTTTAAAACCACATTTTTTAGTAAATTTCATTTTGTTCCATCCTACCTCTTTCCAATATCATTGTGCATTAATCAAAACCTGGCATTTTATGACTACACACATGTCAGAAATCCTAAATTCAACAGAGTACAATGGAAGGGGCCACAGAAAAAGGTAAGGGGATGGGAGAGGCATTGTGTAGATAATCAAGATGTAGGCAATTCAAATTTTTCCCAACAAACAAAAATACCTATTATGTCCTGTTTTCTTCTAAAAAGAAATGAATTCGCCAAGCCGCATGTTGATTATCTGGCTTCTACTCACTTTGCTTCTGTCGAACAGGTTTTCATGACTGTTTATGGAAGCAAATAAAATGTGCATTGCTTTTTAAAAATTCAAAATTAGTAATTTATGTTTTGAAGGTTTAATGATCATCTAGCCTGATCCTTCTCAAATGGGCGTTTGCATATGCCTGGGGATGTGTAGCTAGTTTACCAAGGGGATATAGAAGTCATGAGTGCAAATGGCATGGCCTCCTAGGAGAACACTTTTTCAAATACTATTCCAATAGTTCAAAGCGAAAAGGCATTATTTTTATATTAACACAAATACATATATAAGAGTGCAAAATGCAAATAATGCCCGAGATTTCAAGATAAAATGAGACAGAATATTGTGCTTTCAGGGATGCTTTAAGTTCTGCCTCCAAGGCTCTTGGGGTGATAATTTGTTTCTCTTTACTAGTGGGGTACCATGATGGAAGAGCTGTGCAAAACTGATTCAGTCAGCCGTGCCGCCACCAAATATAAACAGACAAAATGACAGCAGGCTGTGAGGGCAATGCTTGTCTTTACAAAAGTTCATCTAAAAACATTCCATAAGAGTGTTTAAATATCACTGGATTTCACCTCATTCCTGCCAGGTTACCTGCCTAAAACACTTTGCCACCTTTCTTCCAATCCTAGTTGCATTAACCCAACTCAGAATTCACTCACCCAAGAAGCTCTCCCAATAACTCCAGTCCAAAGTGATGTCTCTTGGGAACTCAAAGCACTTCCTGTCTATACCATTTTTTAAACAAACTATTTTCTTTTAGGAGTAATATGTGCTCATTATTGAAAACATAGAAAATACAGAAAAATATAAAGAATATTAAAATTACCTGTAATTTTACTAAGCACCCAGTGTTTAGTATTCTTAAGCTTCTTTGTGTATCACTTTACACTTGCAGGGTTGTACCTTCAGATTATATAGTCTGTATAATATTAAATCCTGTTTTTAGTTCAACAAATGACAACCATTTCCCCTATCATTAAAAGCTGCATCTGAACACATCCCATAATATTCAACTTTTCGTGTGTTGTTCTTTGCCTATTAACTTTATTGCATTCATTCACTTGCTCATTCATTCATTCTTCAAACACTGATTAGTCACTTACAATGTACCAGACGTTGTGCTTACGCGATTTCTTTCCTATGCTAAATTAACTTATGAAGAAGGACCCATTTTTAAATTTGCCAAAATTTCTGAGTACAGACTTAATCAAATGAGAAGTGTACAGTAACTATTTGAGAATGAATTTATCAAAATTTCATTTATCCTCAACTTTTCGGAAACATCAAGGTTCATCTCAAAATGTATACATTGTCTGTTGACCACCTTCTTATAAAAAGTAGGAAGACCTTAAAATTTTGTCTCAAATTTCCTTGTTTTTAAAAAATTATTAGCCCTGAGCTAACATCGGTTGCCAATCGTCCTCTGGTTTTTTTTTTCTCCCCAAAGTCACAGTACATAGTTGTGTATCATAGTTGTAGGTCATTCTAGTTCTTCTATGTGGCATGCTGCCACAGCATGGCTTGATGTGTGGTGTGTAAGTCTATGCCCAGGATCCAAACCAGGAAACCCCGAGCCACTGAAGTGGAGCTCACGAACTTAACCACGCTACCACAGGGCCGGCCTCCTCAAATTTCCTTTTTGAGATTGGAATTTTGACCACACTGTACCACAGGAGCAAGGTTAATCATTTGTGGAAACCTATGGTAGACAAGGAATGAGTTAGAATCTGTACCAAGCTTAAGCCCTGTGTGCCCGGGCCAGGGGCAGGGGCAGAAAGGGTGATGCAGATAAAAGGCGGACCCCAAAGAAACAGCCGTGTGCTGAAAGACATGGGAAGGTTCAAACATGACGCAGGTTACAGATGATGTTGGGAAGTTCTGTGAGGGACAAAGAGAACAATGGTCAGGGATCACGTAGCAGTAACTACTGGGGGTGCCAGGTGAGCTGATGGCCTCATCAGGGTCTGTCCATTGGTGGAAGGACAGAGTCCCTGGCCTTAAGGAAGAAGGGAGGCTTCAGCATGGCCGAGGAAGTACTGGGATATCTTGGACTGTACAATCCTTCTTTCCGTCCTGACGGTGCTTAGGAGAGGAGGACATGCTCTCTGAAGCTGACCCTCCTCCAAACCACCTGCTCCTGTTTCCCTTCCCTGTCGCAACCACAGTTCAGAAAAGAGACTCAAGGAAATATTTTGTGTGTTACGAGGGACTTGTAGGTTTTCTGGAAGGAGGCTCTTTTACTTAGTTGCTCAATTCTGAGAACACGTTTCCTTTGGCAAAGGAAGCAATGAGGAAAGGTCAAGTTACTCCTAAATCTCTCCCATCAATGTCTCAATTTACGCCATAATTTCTTGTGCCCAAGAAAGCAACCACAACAGAGAGCAATAAATACTTCTTTTGAACTTGTAGTTTATGTGTAATGCTAGCATGATTATCAGCATACAAATTCTGGGTATTTTAGTTGTCAATCGTGCTGTCTAAATTAAAATATCCTCTTATTTCAGTGTCCTTCCTTGACAGTGTACTATAAAGCTGGAGAACGCCTCGAATTAAAATGTTGGTTGGAAAGGAGCCAATTCATTTCAACAAAAGAAGATCTGAGACTCATAAAATCTTTGACGCGACTTCACACAGACGCAAATATGTGTACGTGAAGATGCTGAAGTGCTCCCAGTATCTGGTGAAGCTCCCTCCTCCTAGTTTGGATTATTGTCACTCCTTTGCCCTCTTTCCTTGTGCTGAAAGTGTACACTATCTAGTCAGGGGAAAAGACTGTACTTAGGATACATAAATAGTCTCCACTACTTGAAGGAAGAAGGTGTTGCCTAGGATTTCTGTGTCTTTTTTCGTTCTTATTTTCAAATGTTTAAGATATGCAATGTGCTCATTAAGGAGAATTTGGAAAATGCAAGAGGAAGATATGAAAAACAAATAAGTTGCATATAACTATACTACCCAATGGTAACCAGTGCTAATATTTTAATTCATTTTCTGCTAATCTTTCTTCATACATGTTTCTTTATACACGGGCATGGCTTTCTTTCTTAAACAGCTGCTTCTTTTATGGAGCAGAACCCACTCTTTTTAGACATTCTGGAGTAAAATATATGCTATATCAGTTTTCAGTTTTCCTCGGAAAAAAAGTAATTTCTGTTTATTAAAAAAGGCACTAAATGATTATAGGGCAGAGGAGTCAAGAGAAATATCTGGAAAAGAATAAGCTTTGTGTATTTCTTTTTTTTTTTTTTTAAGATTTTATTTTTCCTTTTTTTCTCCCAAAGCCCCCCGGTACATAGTTGTGTATTTTTAGTTGTAAGTCCTTCTGGTTGTGGCATGTGGGGCGCCACCTCAGCATGGCTTGATGAGCGGTGCCATGTCCGTGCCCAGGATTCGAACCAAGAAGCACTGGGCCTCCTGCAGCTGAGCGCCCGAACTTAACCACTCGCCCCAGGGCGGGCCCCGGTATATTTCTTAAGCTCTATTTCAAAAGCAATTTGTACTCTGTTCTGCATAAAAACACCAAAATTTTAATGAAAGTAATTTTTATAATAAAAGTAACTAGCTTACTTTCGTATGGATTAAGAATACACTAAATTAACTAAGAAAGCATGACTTTTGGGAGTTTATAAAATTAATAAACATATGTTGACACTATCTAAATAAGCGGGCTTGCATTCCACGTCTTTATAGATCCAGGCCTAACTCGCTTGCCTCCCTGCGTCGAGGTCACGCCTTGCAGCCCGCCGAAAGGCTCCGCCCAACACAGTCTGCTGTTCTGCGCCCTGTCACTTGGCGAGTCCAGAGATTGCTGCCTCTGGTGACCAGACTCTAAAAGGCCGCTCGCCCGGGTCTCGGGAATCCCGGGGATCTCCCGGAAAATGACGGCGTCTTGCCCGCGGCGCTGGGCACCTCTCTGTCGCCCCGAGAGCCACTTCTCTTCTTGGTGCTCCTTTCGGATCCTTTTAGGGGCCCTAGTGCTCCTGCTACCCATGTCCTCCGGTAGGAGCCTGGAGAGGGCGTGCGCTCCAGCGCGAACGGGAGCGGGTCGGGGGCAGGCCGACCGGAGCCGAGGGCGGGGGAACTTCGCTCGGTGGGTCGGGCAGGTGGCGCGGGGCTGAGTCGACCCGGGTCGTGCGGAGTGGGTAGTGCGTGGCCAGCCTTCCCCCCGGGTGGCGCTGTGCAGGGATCCCGGCGGTGAGGACCACGAAGCGCAGGAGGTGAAGGCTTGGTGGTCGGCACCGAGCGGTGCGGCGGGGTGGGTGAGCCGGTGTTGACCGGGCCAGGCTGTGTCCCTAGCGAAAGCTTGCAGGCTGTTACCGGCACTGAGCCAAGTCGGGAGGGGAGCGCGGACTCGGTGCTTGCGGTGAGGGCTTGCTCTTGAGTGCCCAGGTGCGTGGGGGAGTTGCTGGGACTCGTGCTGTGCCGGTGGGGAGGGTTTGCCCTGCTTCCCTGGGCCGGATGGTGCCGTGTTGAGAGGGGTATTTGTGCCCCGCGTGGCTGGGCTGGGGAAGCCGCGGGCGGTGTTGTCGGGTGTGTGTTCCACGGAAGTGGCCAGCCCAGCGGTGCGTGTGGAGCGAGGAGGCCCGCTGCTCGCTTCGTCAGGGGGCGGCTGGGAAGCCCGTGGTGTGCCTGTACTGCTGGGGTGAGAGCAGGCTCTGGGTGCCTGCGGTTCAGAGAGTTTGGGAGGGGCGCGCCAGGCTTTTGTACCTGACGTTCAGAGGCTCCTTCTTGCCCAAGATCATATTGGTATCGGTTTGCAGGCTGTTGCTTTTTTTCTGCCATATGGTTATCTTCGCGATCCCATCCAGTACAGACAGTATCCAGTTCTGTTACCGAATGGCTTTTTGGCATTGTTTCCTTCTGTTCATTGGGTCGGATCATGTTTGAGGGGACATCCGAAGTAACCTAAAACACATTGGTAGCCAAACTTAGTGAGAAACGGTTATCCTAAGAAATGAACGATAAATAATGTGAATCTGGCTTTCCTCTACAGCTCAAAAACTATGGCTGAAGTCACATCGATTAAGTTTCTTCGGTGTTTCATTGAACCGAAAAAAGTATTTTAAAAATATATGTGCTGAAAAAGACATGCTTATTGTCTAAAAATTACACAATCAAAGGACAGCCGTTTTTAATAGTTTGGTGTATTTCCTCTGTCTTCATATGCACGTGTGTTCCTTTGCCCAAGTTATTTTCAGGATTCTGTTAAATATACAATTTGTATGCTGCATTCTTTCCTTAGCAACGTTCATTCCACAAAGATTTGCCTTCCCTGTGCCAGGTCCTGTGCTGGTCCTGAGGGTACCCTGCTCAGCAATAACAAACCATTCCTGTTTTCATGATCTTTATTGTCTGTCTGCACACACACCCAAATATAAGCAGAGACTGTTTTTTCTCACTGTTGGATCCCCAGTGTCAAGCACACAGTAGATAATCAAGAAATATTTGCTAAAATTTATTGGGAGTGGCAGACAGTAATGAAAACATAATACTAATGAACACATTATAACCCAAGAGAAGCGCTCTGGAGGAAAGGAGCCTGAGACTCTGACAGCATTTAGCAAATGAGTGGAGGCGGGGAAGATTTTCCTGCTCATCAAACAGGCCAGCTCTGCCACTTTGGAGCTTCTGCACTTGCTATTCCCTCAGCCTTGCAGCATCGTCCTCCTGCCTCTTGCGTGCTTGTCTTCTTCTTATTCTTCAGACTCAGCTGAGATGTTACCCTACCCCCACCCGCCAGGGACCTCCTTTGCCCACCCTGTCTCAGGTAGACACACACACTCTCCAGCTTAAATCCCCCCTGATGTGTAGTCGCCCTTCCCAAACTCTCTTTTCTGTTTGCTCCCCACTAGAATGCAGAGGTCTTGTCTGTCTTGTCACACTTGTGGTTCCAAATGCCCGTTTTCTTTGCCTCAGTATGAAGGAGTTATACACTCCTGTGTAACTAGTAAGTATGAGAAAGTTAAACATAGTATTCGGCTGGGGCCAGAGCCCAGGAGAAAATGCCTCCTGCCTCCAGGGGAACGGTCTTCAAAGCAGCATGGGTAGGATGGCCTTTCTGCGGTGCCTGAAAGGCTGAGGCAGGGACCGCTGAGGGCCCAGGAGGCTCTGGCTTCCCATTTTATGTAGAGTCTGCGGGGCTCACAATGTTGCTTGTTACTGATCTTTAAGAAGTTCATTTTGTGGTGGGAGGGCAGGAGAAGAACACTGGTGGTAAGGGAGAAAGAAAAGGAACTTTTTGAAAAAAGAATAAGTTTTAAATTAGGCTTAAAGCTGGAAGTTGACGGGAACTATGAATACTATTTGGAAGAGAGGAAAACAGATAAATACAAGGAATACAATGCAACATGGAAGTTAACAAAACTACAAATGAAGAAAAGGTGGAAAGGTGAAATCAGGAAAGGTATGAAACAGAGAGAAAGTAGAAATGAGAACTCACTGTGCCGGGCAGGGAAAATGTGGATAAAATAGACGTTTCACTTCTGAATCAGCTCCTGAGGAGAAGGTTTTGTGGGCAGACACTTGTGCCTGGGAGGCTTGTCATCTCAGAGGTGGTTGCCAAATGGTATGAGGTCGCAGAAGGGAACATTTGTCAAAATTTGGGACCAGTCTCGTTCCTCCAGAAGTCGTCTGGTTTTTTGGACAAAATCCACTATCTCCTGTTATGGATGGTCTCTTCTGCCTATTTTAAGTCTTTTCTTTCTATCCGGTAAAGAAGCCAAGATCAATAAGGGCTTACACAGTAGTTTCTTAGTTTACTTACTCTGCATATTACAACGCAAAGAGAGCAGCCCTTGTCTGGTCAGTTGCTAGGTTACCAGGATCCTGGGAGATAGGCAACAAAAGAAACTACACGGCCAAACCTTTCTCCAGTGCATAAAGCTTTAAGATGATGATTTTCAATATTAGATTCATTACAGTATGTTCTTCTCCATTGTTCTCTGTTTGACAGCAGTGGTGCTTTGAGCACCAAATGTTTTTAAATAGCTGCTATGAAGGACATACTGTGCTAGATGTTATGGCCACATGGATGAATGGAGTCAGCCTGTTAACTATTCAACCCCAAAACATGTGACAGTGACCTGAGAGATCCATGCAGAGGAGCGTCCAGGAGAGGGACTGCTCACTGCGTCTTTGGGGAAGCAGAAAGTGCTTTCTAGAGCAGATGTTGAGGGGATTAAGTCTAAGAGGACAAGCGTTGAGCAGGAGTTGCTGCTGAGCAGGAAGGAAGGGTGTTCTGAGCAGAGGGAGCAGTGTGAGCAATGGCTCAGAGATAGGACATGGCTCAGCGACTCAGGGACTGCCAAGCTACCCAGTGAGGCAGCAGTAGGGCAAAGGAGGCGAGAGCAAGGAAGGACTAGATCACAGAGTGAATAATTGTGAAACCAACAGGATAGTCGGGAATGAACAATCACCATCATAAAATTCAGACATCATGTTATTACCTGTCCTTTTAGGGCAACTTGAGCCCTTCTCTTTGACTTAGCACAATGCAGACCATTTCTTGAGGACTAACTTGTAGACAGAGTGTGTTGGTGTAAGCACGTGAGGGTTCCAGATGAGAGACAGTGATGGGAAGCAGTGGTCATAGTGGAACCAGGCTCCCTGGCTAGACTCCTGGGTCTGCTGCCTACTGAGAAAGTTTCTTGGGAAAGTTAATTCACCTTCCTGTGTCTCAGTTTGCTCATCTTAAAGATGGTTCCCAGCTCATAGGATGACTATGAAGACTAAGCTAGTTGGCTAAAAACTTTTTGCCATTTGTGGAGAAGAGTTTTAAGATTTGTATTTGCCGTTTAAGTAATCTAGCATTTGGGCAAGGGAATCTTTATAGCAGTTTGTGTTTTTAAAAGACCTTTTTTCCCTTTGGATTTTTGTTTGTTTTTATTTTAGCTCAAAGGAGGAGGCCAGAAAAAAAATTCTTTCAGGATCTGAATATCAGCTGTTTTCCTAGTTCACTCAAACTGGTGGCCTCCCATATTTTGTGCCTTTTTGATCTGTCTGCTAATCTCAGGAGGTGACTTGATTATAGAAGCTTTTGAGAATCCTCCCTGGGTTTAAGGAGTTCTTTACGTGTGGCCCATAGTTTGGTCTTTGACCAAGGAGTGAAAGGGCTCTGAGGAGGATCGCTGGCAACCTGAGGCAGTTTTATTTTAAAGGGCAAGCGTGTAATAGTCTCTCCAGAGTGGAAAAGCAGTTCAGAAACAGAACTAGTGACACAGGCACCCTCAGGTAGCGAAGGATGGAGGGGAGCCTCAGGAGTCACATCAGTCCTAGTGTGCTTTGTCTCAGGTAACTCTTGTGTCCCTCATTTTTCATTTCCTCAATTTCCACATAGTTCCTCTTTTTTTTTTCCTTCTAATGAGAAACTTCTCCCTAAAGTTTACATTTCAAAGAATGGCTCTTAGGTCTTAGAAAAAACCGTGTAGTAGAAAATTAATATTACAAAAGCAGAGAAAATATCCAAATTTTCTGAAGACTTTTTTATTTCTCCGTTATCAGAAATCTAGTGTAATTACTATTTAAATTTTCCTTCATTTTAGAATAATTCTGTTCCAGTGTGCTGATTTCTTTAATATCTCTAAGCATTTTGAGATGAATAGGGGAGGTTTAGGGGATGGCCTCTCTAAATTTGGTAGGGTCTTCTGAAAATAAGGTAAAAGGGCTTTATAATTAAAGATCTACTGCTGTCCAGGGGCCATGAATTCTTTGGATGAGGGTCTATGATGTATCTCTGGTTACATGAAGTTCATATATAACAATGCATATGTGTATAAGCTGATTTTAGGTTGAAATTTCCTTACGTTTGAACACATTCTAAAAGTTCCCATGGTTTAGGTCTTTTGTTGTTTTTCTTTTTTGCTGAGGAAGATTCGCCCTGAGCTCACATCCATGTCAAGCTTGCTCTGTTATTTTAGTATGTAGGCCATCAGCACAGCATGGCCACTGACAGAGCAGTGGTCCTCAAGAAGGTGATAGTCTCCTAGGGAGTATAAAAATAAAGAATTACAATATGAAGAGAGCTATGGAAGGAGCTAGTGGGGGCAGCAAGTGAGGGTTCCACATGAGAGACCGTGATGGGAAGCAGTGGTGGTAGTGGAACCAGGATGCCTGGCTAGACTCCTGGGTCTGCTGCCTACTGAGAATGTGTTCTTGGGTGAGATACTTCACATTACCATGCCTCAGTGTGTTCATCTTAAAGAGGGGAAGTAGTACCCAACTCAGACGATGATTATGAAGATTAAGTGAGTTTAAAAGTACTTAAAATAATGGTCAACACAAGGAAGGTCGTATATCTACAATTATTGCTGTCATGACTATCATTGTTGTAAGAACCAAGTACTGGAATCCTTCATTATGATATTTTAGGGAAAAACATTAATCCACAGTATTTGGACTTCACCTTTGATAATGTTAAAATACTATTTCTAATAATGACAGTAATGAAGAATGAGTTCCTAATGAAAAAATAAACGAAGCATAATTATTTTGACATGAAAGGAATAAAAAATTCTGATAAAGGGATTTGTCTATACCTGAACCACTGACATAAAATTGAAGACAGGCATAAAAACAGCAAAGAAAAATGATGATTTGCAGACAACTCTGAAACAGGTTGGCTGAACAGTGAAGATTTGAATTTGGATGTAAGAGTGTGTAGAAGTGACTGATACCAGTGCTCATTCAGCTCTCGTGCTGGGTCCTAGTAGAGCAGTGATGAATGAGACGTGGTCCTCATGACGACAGTCTCATAGGGCATATGAACAATAAAGAATTACAATATGAAAAGAGCTATGGAAGGAGTTAGTTGGGGCAGCAGGAGGACACTTAACCCGGTTTTTTGATTGAGAGATGCCAAGAGCTTCAAGGAAGAAGCGGCATCTAAGATGAAACTGGAGGATGAGTGGGTGGGAGGAATGGCAGGGTCTCTGGTCAGAGCTGAAGTAAAGTGATGCATGGAGCCTACAGTGCTCATGTAATTTAACAATGTAATGGGCACCGCGTGGAATTGAACACGGCTTGAGAATAGTGTGCAAGAGTGAGCAGCATCTTGATAGAGACAGATTTTAAAAGTCTGTTAGCAATGTGAAGGGGCTTAGACACATCTTGAGGGCAACGGGTGCCATTGACAGGCATCTGATGTGGAAGAGCATTGGTCACTCTCTCATATCAATATTGTTCTAGTTGCACTGTGAGGAATTGCTGAAGTAGAAGAGACGTTATTCTAGGCAGAAAAAAATCCTCCCCAAAAAACTACCAAGAAGTAACAAATTTATCAAAAATCATAGCAATATAGCAGCTTTACTGGAGGGATCTATTGGATGAAAAGCTCAAACAGCTACCTCAGGGAACTTCTGGGGGAACCGCATGATCCATTAATCAGCCAAGGAAGATTAAATTATCTAATGTCCAAGGAGGCGAATTTTTTTCATGTAATGCCATCAAAGTAAATCATTTTGATATTTAAGTGGCATCTATTCACGTACAAAATGCTCAGATCACTGATATGAAAACTGTGGAACAATGTCTTATATTTTGAAGGACTTCCGTCCGTATTTATTTTGATGTATGAAATCTGCCACGCTAATTTAATCATCGCCTTTTACCGCAGCATTTCTTAAGCCCCCCTGGGTAGAGAGTGTAGCAGAAAAAGAAGGCATGTGATCCCTGAGCTCTAGGAGCTCGCCCTCTTAGAGGAGATTGAGCCTGCAGTGCCAAGTGCTCATGAGTTTGTGTTTCAGACTATGGAGGATAATCTCAGCAGAGTGGTATATATTACGGAGACTTCTTCGAGGACAGGTGAGTTTTGGACTGAATTTAGACAAAAGTGGGGAAGGATGCATACCTATAAATATATTTTAAAGCCAAAAGCATTGATGTTGTCTCTTCAATTTACTGTTGATTGAAAATTCACCTCATTCCCCAACAAACAAAAGCTAAAAGGATGTTATTAAAAATGACCAAGACACATCGTCCACCACTACCACCAACTGGGTGAAAGCATGGACAGTCATTTAACATCTCGCCAAGAACTTTTGCATTTCTTCTGTACTGCTTACCTGCTGCCAGGCCACAGGCCCTGTCTGACGAACGAGGTAACATGCTTTATTTTCATGTTCTTACTCTCTTTTTTCTAGACGCCTGTGGTGATCCACCAAGATACCAATCCATGAAGCTGAAGGGTGTCGCTCAACCCCGTTATAGGCCTGGGGCCATAATAGAATACGAGTGTCGTCTAGGCTACAGGCTCAAGAGACCTCCTCTTCCCACCTCTGCCCGCTGTCAGGCTGATAACACATGGACACCTCTCCAGGAGGCTTGTAGAAGTAAGTCAACAAAACATTTTTGGGTTTTTCTTAATTACTCTGGAGATATTCACACATTTTATGGCACATGTTCCACTACTGCTGGTTTTCTCATGTGAATGTAGGTTTTAGATAGCAGGGTATTTTTTAGGGCTTTGAAAATCTCCAGGGCACTTTTGCTCGGCAGCTGGTTGCCTAGGTAGATGTGAATCTTAAGTTTGGCCTTATCATAGTTAAAGAAAGTAAACAATATTCCCACAAATTCCAAAGAACAATGTAGAGTTTTGATTTTGATTCAAATCTGTTTTGAAAGTTGTATAAAACAACGAATTTGAAAATTGTCTTTCAGGAAAATCATGTCCACATCCAGTAGAGCCGGTAGATGGCGCAGTACAGTATGTAAATGGGACTTTGGAGCTTGGTTCACAGGTTCACTATGTTTGTAATAAGGGGTAAGTTACTCCTTAGAGGAAATAAGGTGAAACTTATGACGTTCATTTTTGTCGTGCTTCTCTTCTTAAGAGTTCCCATGAACTTGATTCCATTTTGCTTTCTGTGTGACAAGTTGCACTTGTAGCCAGACAACTCTTGGGCTTTAATGGAGGCTGCAAAGATGTGTAATATATAGGAAGAAATTTAAATTGAAGGGAAGCAAAACTGAATGTCGCTGTTATACTAAGAAGCCTATCCCAACAGAGTGCACCCTATTTAAAACGGCCAGCTCTCAGAGTTGAAGTAGTCTTCTGGAAATGGGAGGTAGAATTGCCATCCAAAGAGACTCTTACACTGACTGAGGTAACGCTGGAAGGGGCCAGCAGACCAACATTGACCCGGTCAGCCTGGACCATAATGTTGATCAAGCTGTCTTAGTTGGAAAACCTTATCTTTGAGACTGCTGCGAAGGAATGAAGCATCTCAAACAGAGGTCCTGAGCACTTAATAATAGCCTTTGTTCGATGGGGCTCTTTTAACAGTATGTATTGGGAATACTGGGCATCTCTGAAAAATGTGCATTTACAGGGTAAATGTAATACACTGTAGAAATGCAACTGATTTTTTAATACCAACTTTGTATCACGCTACTTTGCTGAACTGGTTATTCTAATTTTTTGTGTTAGTGGGTGCAGGTAATCTTTAGAGTTTTCTACATCTGAGAACCTATCATCTGCAAACAATGATAATTTTACTGCTTCCTTTCCCATTTGGTTGCCTTTTATTTATTTATTTTGTCTTTCCGGATAGCTCTGTCTAGAACTTGCAGTACTATGTTGACTAGAAATGGTCAAAGCAGGCATCCTTGCCTTGTTCCTCATCTTAGAGGAAAAGATTTCAGCTTTTCACCATTGAATAGGATGTTTGTTGTGGGTTTTTCATGGATGGCATTTATTATCTTGAAGTAGGTTCCTTCTGTTCCTCATCTGTTGAGTATTTTTATCGTGAAAGGATATTGAATCTTGTCAAATGCTTTTTTTGCAGCAATTGAGATAATCATATGGGGTTTTTTTCCCCCTCTATTCTGTTGATGTGGCGTTAATTGAATGATTTTCCTACGGTGAGGATGTTTCCATTCCAGGAATAACTCCCAGCGCTCATGGTGTATAATCCTTTTAATATGCTGCAAAACTGTTTGCTAGTATTTCGTTGAGGATTTTTACTTTAACGTTCATCAGGGATATTGGTCCGTAGCTTTCTTTTCTTGTAGTGTCTTTGTCGAGCTTTGGTATCAAGGTAATACTGGTCTGATAGAATGAGTTTTGAAGAATTTCCTCCTTGGAATTTTTGGAACAATTTGGTAAGGATTGGTATTAGTTTTTCTTAAGTGTATGGGAGAATTCAGCAGTGTAACTGTGAAGTCCAGGGCTTTTCTTTATTGGGAGATTTTTGATTACTGATTCAATCCCCTTGGTAGTTACAGGTCTGTTCAGCTTATCTATTTCTTTGTGATTTAGTCTTGGTAGGTTTTGTGTTTCTAAGAAATTGTCCATATATCTAGGTTATCCAATTTGTTGGCATAAACTTTTCCATAGTACTCTCATAATATTTTTTATTTCTGTAGAATCGATAGTAATGTCCCCACTGAAATTCTGATGTCCGTCCTTTTTCTCTATTTTCTTAGTCCATCTACCTACAAGCTTGTCAGTTTGGTTGAACTTTTCGAAGAACCAACTTTTGGTTTCCTTGATTTTCTCTAATATTTTTTATTCTCTGTTTTGTTTATCTCAGCTCTACTCTTTATTATGTGCTTGTTTTTCTAGCTTTGGGTTTGGTTCTTCTTTTTCTAGTTCCCTAAGTTGGAAAGTTAAGTTGCTGATTTCCGATCTCTCCATTTTTTTAATGTCACCGTTTATAGCTATACATTTCCGCCTTGGCACTGCTTTTGCTGCCTCCCGTAAGTTCTTCTATGTTAGGTTTTCATTTTCGTTTATCTCAAAGTATTTTGTACTTTTCCTTGTGACTTCTTCTTGGATCCAGTGGTCGTTTAAAAGTGTGTTGTTTAATTTTCAAGATTTTGTCACTTTTACAGTTTTCTTTTTGATATTAATTCCTGACTTCATTCGACTGTGGTTAGAGAAGCTGCTTTGTACAACATCTATCTTTTTAAATCTATTGGTTAACGATATTAATTTGTAGACTACATAATTACGTTATCATGTATTATTTATCATGTGATTAATTGTACTATTAATAATATTACTTTCTTTTATTAATTTGTGGCCTAACATATGGTCTATCTCGGAAAATCTCCCATGTACACTTGAGAAGACTGTATACTTTCTTGTTGGGTCAACTGCTCTCTATATGTGCGTGACATCTAGTTGGTTTATCATGTTGTTCAAGTCCTCCGTTTCCTTACATGGCTTCTGTCTCCTTGTTCTATTCCTTGTTGTGAATGGGGTATTGAAATCACCAAGTACTCTTGTAGAAATGCCTCTATTAAATAGTAATGTGTATTTATCCCTTCGATTCTGTCAGTTTTTGCTTCATATATTTTGACAGGCTGTCCTTAGGTGCATAAATGTTTATAATTGTTATATCTTCTTGCAGTTTTGAGCCCTTCTTAATATATAAGGTCACTTTTTGTCTCTTGTAGCCTTTTTTGATTTAGAGTCCATTTTGTCTGATTTCAGTATAGCCACCTCTGCTTTCTCTGGTTACTCTCTTCACGGAATAGCTGTTTCCATCCTTTCCTTTACAACTTGCTTTTGTCTTTGGAGCCCAAGTGAGTCTCTTGTAGACTGCATATAGCTGAGTCATGTGTTTTTAGCCGTTCTGCCAAGCTCTGTCTTTTGATTGGAGAGTTCAGTCCATTTACATTCAATGTCATGGCTGACAAAGAGGGACTGACTTCTGTCATTGTGCTATTTCTTTTTATGTGCCTCATGGCTTTTTTTGTCCCTCATTTCCTGTCACACTGCTTTCTTTTGTGTTTAGTTGATTTTTCTAGTGAACTGTTTAAATTCTTTTCTCGTCTCCTTTTGTGTGTATTCTGTGTCTGTTGTCTTGGTGGTTACCATGAGGATTGCATTTCACATCCTGTAGTTATAAGCCTCCAATTTGAGTTTATACCAACTTAACTTCAATAAATTCTAAGAACTGCTCCTCTACAGATCCGTCCCCACCCCTTTTGGATTTTGATGTGATACTAGCGTCTACACCTAAAAATTTTAATAGTGGCTTCTACACTAGTAATCTCTTTATTTTCTTTACAAATATTAGTCTCTTAAATCAGATAGAGTACAAAAACTGCAGTTATACATCATGCTCACAATAATACTAGCTTTCATAATTACCCATATATTTACCATCGGTGACATCTTTATTTATCCAAATGGCTTAGAGCTACTGTTGAGTCCGTTCGTTTCACCGTGCAGGACTCCCTTGAGCATGTATTGCAGGTGAGGGCTAGTGCTCATGAACTCCCTCAGCTTTTGCATATCTGGGAATACCTACATTTCTCCTTTACTTTGGAAGGACACTTTTGCTGGATAAAGGACTTTGGGTGACGCTTTCTTTCTTTTAGCTCTTTAGGTATATTGGTCAACTGTCTTATGGGTTCTGAGTTTCTGAGGAGAAGCCTTCAGATGATGTTATTGAAAATCCCTTGGATGTGATGATTCACTTTTTGGTTGCAGCTTTCAAGATTGTCTCTTTGTCTTTGAATTCGAAAAGTTTGCTTGTTCTAGGGCCTAGTTTGGGTCTCTTTGAGTTCATCTTACTTGGAGTTTGCTGAGCTTTTTGGATATTTGTCTCCGTGTCTTTCAGCAAAGTTTCGGAGTCGTCAGCCGTTATTTCTTCAACTGTTCTCTCTGCCCCTTTCTTTCTATTTTCTCCTCCTCAGAATCCCACGGTGTTTATTTTGGTCTGCTTGTTGTTGTCCATGTCCCTTGTGCTCTCTGCTTTTCTTCAGTCCTTTCTGTTCCTCAAACGCAGTATTTCCATTAGCCTATTTGCAAGTTCAACATTTCTTTCTTCTGCTTCCCCAAATCTGGCTTTAATTCCTGTAGTGAACTTTTGATTGCAGTAACTGTACTTTTCAACTCCAGAATTTACTTTTGGCTTCCCTTAGTTTTTCTGTCTCCTAAAGGATATTTCCATTTTGTTCACACATTGTTTTCTTGACTCTCTCCATTTCTTCTGTTGGTTCTTTGAGCATCTTTAAGACAGTTTTTCTTTTTTCTCTCAGGTTTTACTGAGACCCCAAGGCCTTGGGTCTCAATCAGGAGGCCATCCTGCATGCAAAGCAGGAGCCTTTGGAAAGGCCTTATCTGACCTTCATTCTGGGGCACAGGTGGTTCTTGTGGCCGTATGTTGTGACAGTGGACAGCACAGGGGTGCAGGCGAGCATAATACTTGCTGATCATCCTGTGGCTGTTGTATTTCTGGGTGAGCTGGCAGAGGGAAGGCTTGATGATGCCACCCCACAGGTGAAGCACCAGGTACACTGTGGACTCTGAATATTGTGGTCTTCGAGACCATGCCTGTCCTTTGGCTGTTTGCCTATGAAAATCAGACACTGTTGGTGACTTAGGATGCCCTTCTCGTCTTGGATTTTGTTTTTTTCATTCTCAATGGTGTCACCGGGCTCGACCTCAAGAGGAATGGTCTTGCCTGTGAGCTCTTCATAAAGATGTGCCTCTCTGCATCTGCTGCTCACACACTCATTGAAGAAAGAGAATGTGTGGTAATGGAAAGCACCATTTTGACACCAAGAGCACAAGAACAAGACAGTTACTTTAAAGTCTTTCTTTAGTAAATCCACCATGAGGCCTTTTCAGGGACAGTTTCTGCTGATTTATTTTTTCTTGTGAATGAGCCATACTTCCTGTTCCCTTGTATGCCTTGTGATTTTTTTGTTGAACTGGACATTTGAATCTAATAATGTGGTCACTCTGGGAATCAGATTATCCCCTTTTCCTGAAGCTTGATGATTTACGTTATTGCTTTTTGAGTTATTTTTTTATTGTTGTCCGGTGTCTCTGTGCTGAGGATCAACCTGATGTGTAATGCTCTTCTCAGGTCTTTTTTGATCCTTTCCATGGGTGTGCATAGTCACTTTCTAATTTTCCCCGCATATGCAGTTGTTTCTGAATGTTCTCGTTTTTAATGCTTGGCTTCTGAAGGGGGAAAAAGTGAAAAATGAAGGGTATAGCAAAGGGCACTGGATCTTTAAATCGCTTGTAAGTCACTTCAGCTAGCATGGAAGGAGCTTCCAAAAGTGTGGGTAGATGTGAGAGCATTCGCTTCCCACCACCTTGTCTGCTTCTCTGTGATCAGAAGCAGTAAGCAGTGATAAGACCACAGATCCCCGATAACTGCAGGACAGAGTTCTTTTTGCCCAACCTGGATCCTGCAGGCTGGTTGTAAGCTGCTATCAGAACACATGCACAGTTACCAGCTGGGGTAGGGACTGGGTAGCTGCCACAGTGCTGGGAGCTGAAATTGACCTAAAGTAAGCCTAATTCACTCTCTAAGTCTTCCTCTGGAAATGGCAAGCCATCAAATACTCCAGTGTTGCCAAATAGTTACATCAGGCAGATTCTACCAGTACAATTGTTGTCTAGGTGGGAGAGAGATTACTGGTGCTTCCTTCTCAGCCATCATCCCAGAATCTACTAATATATTCAAATATGGAAGCACTGCGGGAGCCATGGGGGAAATGTCAGCTAGAAGCATGTTCAGGCAGCTTCACTTCCTATTTTTGAACTTTATCAAGTAAAAAATCTTGGAACGTCCTTTGGGGCCGTCCCGATGGCCCAGCGGTAAGTACGCACGTTGCGCTTCAGCAGCCTGGCGTTTGCTGGTTCACATCCCGGTTGCAGACATGGCACCGCGTGGCAACCCATGCTGTGGTAGACGTCCCACATAACAAGTAGAGGAAGATGGGCATGGATGTTAGCTCAGGGCCACTCTTGCTCAGAAGAAAGAAGAAGATTGGCAGATGTTAGTTCAGGGCTAATCTTCCTATAAAAAAAAAACTTGGAATATCGAGTTAATACTTATAGAGAGAGGCTCTGCTAGGCACTTTGAGGAATACCAAAAGTTTAAGACAGAGACTCTTCTCAAAGAAGTTGTAGCCTTCTGGAAAAACACAATATATCTAGAGAGGTGTCAAAGTCAAATAGTAAATGAGAAGTACCAAATAGACAGAATTGCTCATGATTACTACAATGAGAGTCCGGAAGGAGGAGAGGGAGCTGTGAATTTAAGTCACCAGAGAAGATTTCATCCAGGAGAATTCCTGACCTGTTCCTAGAAAGACATTCTGATCTAAAGCAGGTGAAGAGGAGCCAAAACCTACATGGCCCTCACTGTGTGCCAGATGCTAACTCATCTAAGCCTCAGAACAGCCCCATGAGGTAGGTGCTATATCCGCTCTTCATCGATGAGGAAGCTGAGCCAGAGAAACATTAGGGGACTCGCCCAAGCTCCAATACAAGTCCCTCATGGAGCTGGGACTGGCATCCAGGCAGCAAGCTCCAGGGCCTGTTCTCTCTCCTCAGTCACTGTCCTTCCTGAGCAGAATGGCATGAGTGAGGACGTAGAAATGTGCGTGTAATGTGATTGCCAGAGAGAGAAAAGAGGCCAGACCGACAGGTATGACATATTTATTTAGACATTTTTGCTCTTGGCCAATGCGTGTTCAAATGCAGAAACGCTTTAGTCAAATTGCAGATTTTATTAGCAGTTTGTTATATTAGAAACTTTTTCTCAAACTGCAGTAGTGCAGAAAAACAACCATATAAACATTTTCTTCATTATTATTTGCATCTTGTTGACTGGTAAAGAACACTGTAACTTTTTCTTTTTTCTTTTAGTTATAACTTAATTGGAACTAAAATTCTGTATTGTGAACTTGATGGAGAAAATGTGAATTGGAGTGACAATCCCCCACTATGTCAAGGTAACTTAACTGTGTTCTCTCTGTAGAATTTTGACCAGCAGTTCTCACACTTTTTGCCCTGAGAACCCCTTACTTTTTTAAATTAACAAAGACCCCAATGAGCTTAGCTTTATGTGACTTATATCCCGACATTCATTATATTGGAATTAAAACTGAGACTTTTTGAATAATTGTTTATTTTAAGAACAGCAAGGTCAATACATGGTAACATATTCACCATGTTTTTGTGAAAAATCAATTTTCCAAAAGAAATAGTGAGAATAGTGGCATTGTTTTACGTTATCGCAAATGTCTTCCATATATTTCTTAAAAAATGACATCTAGGGGCTGGCCCCGTGGCCGAGTGGTTAAGTTCGCGCGCTCCGCTGCAGGCGGCCCAGTGTTTCGTTGGTTCGAATCCTGGGCGCGGACATGGCACTGCTCATCAGACCACGCTGAGGCAGCGTCCACATGCCACAACTAGAAGGACCCACAACGAAGAATATACAACTATGTACCGGGGGGCTTTGGGGAGAAAAAGGAAAAAAATAAAATCTTTAAAAAAAAAAAAATGACATCTAGATTCTGTCTGTTGTGTTATCACACACAATTTGTACCCTCTGGAAAAGTTCACCATACACTCATAAGGATGAAAGTGAAAAAAGACAATAGTATCTTGGTATTGTAAACTACCGATTTAGCAAATGTATCTGTTTATAAATTAGAAAGTCTGTATCAAGTAGCACTGAGTTTTATTTTTGATCACAAGTATATTTTCTCATTAAATTGTCAGCTTCTCTTATGATGAGAACAAAACGTAGCATGGCCTTACACATAAATGTACCACAGAATTGTCACAGCAAATGTTACTGGACGGGAAGAAGACTACTGATGACATTAAGTATAATCTTACAATATTTTGTGATACTACTTTTAATGAGAAGCATTAATATAGTTTATATAAGGAAAATGAAGTTATTAGGGTTTTTATACAAGATCAGAAAATCAAACCTATGAATTTGTCTTTAAACCTCTTTTTATTCTTTTTTTTTTACTTATTTCTATTTCCTGTTTTTTTTCTAGGACATCTTGGTCCTCCCGATGAATCACAACCACCTAAAGACACGTGAACTTCAGGTATTATTTTGGTTACTAATAACCCTGCATTGTGAGACCCTAGACTTCTACCTGGAAATATCATACTTCAATATTCTGCAGTTAGAAAAGTAACAATGTGTCACAAATCAGTGATAATTGGCATTTGTAGTTATGTTAATAGTGAGGAAACCATGACAAATGAAATCACTCATATGTGTAAACACATGCAAATCATACATTTCTTAAGAGGTGCCCCAAATTAGCATTCCTAGATAGGCCAGGTAATTTTCTCAAATGCTATGGTTATATGTTAGTTAAAATATATAAAACACAACTTGCTTTCCATGTGATAGTGTTATTTTGTGATGGCAACTTTCAGGGAAATTTTCTTTCTATCCATACCTTGTATACACAAGCCTTAAAATACTACAAGTTGGGTGAGATTTTTTTCTGTAACAGGCTGGTGTAGCACACTTTAATGTAGGCTCACATAGTTCACACAATTTGTTTTAAAGAAAATAATGAAATATAGTTGTGAGTTAAATGAAATACAAAGATGTCTTGATAAGTACGTGAAGAAAAATATTTATTACAGTTATTTACATTAGACGAGGTTAGTAAGGTTAATCTTTTTATAAAATGCACCATAGGCGTCTTACATTTGCCCTCTGAACACTGCGGTCAAACTGTCATTGTGCCAGTAACTCCAGTGCCATCTTAAGATGTGAAACACTTGACCATTTTTTCTGAAATGGAAAGCGCAGAGTTAAACAGGACATTTTATGCTTTGACTTATGGAAATTTAATAGAAGTAATGGCAGTTTAGAAGCAGTGGTACTACTGACAAACATTGCTATGAATTAAGGTTTTGTGGTATTATTTATTGTTCTCTGCATAGTTAGGACATGGTCACTTAAGTGCATGTTTGTTTCTATGCACAGTTTTTATCCTTGTGCCTGATGTTTCATTTACATTCTCAGAATTTCCTGGCTAATTTGCACTATGTCTTAACCTTTTTGTCAGGGTGGAGAATAGGAGGGGTCGATGATAAGATAAAGTATTATTTGTGAAGACTCTGCCAATAGCATCTGTGTGATCGATTCATGGAACTTTATATATGACTTATTCCACAGACTCACTTTTGGGGAAAAAAGTATAAATTAACTTCCTAACAATATCATAAGAAATTATAGAATGAGTACTGAACTAAACTGACTAGTTTTAAAACAATTTTCCTCTAATCTAGTGAATTCTGATTGTTCTGGTAACCTTTACTAAATAACCTAGTGTGGTGGCTACGGCACAAAACAACGAAAAGTGAGGGTCCTGTGACGAGTCTCACAAGTTGGACCTGAACCTGGAATCTGATTAGAAGGGTTCTGTGATCAAAATGACCGGGATGCTCCAGCAGTCACCCTAAAACTAGATGGATAGACTTTTTCTTTGCTGTAGTTTTTAGATGATGGGACCAGAATGAAAATGCAGCTGCTATCTGGAGGCCCAGATGTGCTCAATTATCTTTAAACTGTCTTTGTTTTTTCTCAGATGGACTAAACATTGCTCTGATGCTCCCAAACTTTGATAGTACTTGAATCAAAATATTACTGTAAAGAAGTGCACTATTTTCTTAATGACTTTTCAGTTTCCATAGTTTTTATTCCTTCCAATAAGTAAACCAGTCTAGAAACCTGAGCTTTTATGTGATATACTACCTCGTATAGATGACTATATATTCTTTTATATTCTATATGTCCACTTAGTAACAAACCCTAAATAATCACATATTTTTTCAATTTCCTTTGTTCAATTATTGGTGGTTTTTTCTACCATCCCTGTTCTAAACATAATATTCTTGATGGCTTTTGTTTGGACATATGCTCCAGTAGAGTAATGTCCCCTCATCCTTTCATCAAACTACATAGCTTTCTCTACCTTCTAGCAGCTGAGAATCAAAAGTGAGGAAATAATTGCATAATAATTATGCATAATGCTTTCATTTTAAGTACAGGGAGAAAAAAATGTCCTTTTACAGAAACCAAAATACATTTTACTTAGTTTTGTAAATGTATTCAATGTCAACTTGTAAATAACTCTGTAAAAGTATTTATATATTTCCCTTAACCAGAATATTATTAGCATATGAAAGAGAAACCAACAAAAAAATCCTCAGATTTTGAAAAATTATGACTCATACTGCCTTAAACGCTTTGACCCCATCCACCTTCTGTCTTTGAATGAAATGAATTGGAAGTGTTCTTCTACTTGTGCTAAAATATGTGTCTACATAGCTGGGAAGAGAGGGAGATGTGCATCCCACCACTTACAATGTGAGGTGCTACCCTAGGTTACAATCAAGAGTTTGGAGTGATGTCAGCAACATGGTGGAGTTAGCTATTCCCTTTATCTCTCTTCCTTTGAACTACAATTAAGTGGACATTCATTGACCAATGGAGGATACCCACACAGCACAACAGAGTGCCTGAGAGACCCACACAGCTATATATCTGAAAGTGGATGGACTAGACCTCTGGGATGTAGTGGAGATAGGTGAGCACTCCTCAGCCCTTCCATGGCAGCCCTGTGTGCACACATGAATGCTTTCCCAGCTGGGAGCACACATAGTGCCACTGTCATCCTGCGAGTGGGAACTCACCTTGGCGTTACTGTAAGAAGAGGCAGAGGCAGCCCTGAGCACTCGCACCAACATTTTCCCAGCTGGCAGGAGAGCCCACCATGCCACTGAAATCTCAATGAATGGCCCAGGCTTGGACCCCATGAAGAAGTCCCACCCACCAAGCACAGCAGCTGGTGTGACCTTAAGAAGAAGCAGTGGCAGATCTACATGCATGTGCGAGTGCTTTCTTGGTGGGCAGGAGCACCCATAGTACTGCTGCAGCCCCAGAAGTGGGAACACACCTCAGTGCAAACGTAAGAAGTGGCCCCAGCCCTGAGCCTGTGCATGAATGCTTTCCCACCTAGTAGGACCACCCACCATATCCCACAACTTCCAGCAGACAGGGTGGGATCAGAAATTCAGCTCCTACCTCCCCTCAGTGGTAGCAGATGGAGCTGTGAACTGATACTATCACAAATGCACCAGCAAAGCATTAGTTCATCAAACACCATAAGAAACTGCAGCAACAATTAAGAGCAGAAAGAAAATGACAAGTCCCCAGAATCCAACCCTGAAGTCACAGGAATTCATAATCTAAATTGTAGTGAATTCAAAATAGCTGTCATAATGAAACTCAACAAGTTACAAGAAAACTCAGAAAGACAGTTCAATGAGCTCAGGAATAAAATTAAGGAGAAGAAGGAATACTTCACCAAGAGATTGAAACTATTAAAAAAAAAAAAAGTTAAAACTATTAAAAAAAACTATTAAAAAACTATTAAATATAAATTCTGGATATGAGGAACACAAAGAGATAAAAAATAATCTAGAATCCTTAAAATATAGAGCTGACATTGTGAAGGAAAGAATTAGTGATTTAGAGGATAGAAATATAGAAATGCTTCAAGTGGAGGAGGAGAGAGAACTAAGATTTCAAATAAATAAAGCAATTCTTTGAGAAATATCTGACTTAATTAGGACAAGCAATATAAGGATTATAGGTATTCCAGAGGGAGAAGAAGGGGGAAAAGGAGCAGAGAGTTGTTCAAAGAAATAAAAGCTGAGAACTTCCTAAACCTGGGGAAGGAACTGGACTTACAAGTACATGAAGACAATAGAACTCCTAAATACATCAATGATAAAAGACCTTCAAGGCATATAATAGTAAAACTGGCAAAAGTTAATGACAAAAAAAAAATATATTAAGGGCAGCAAGGCAGAAGAACATAACCTAAAAAGGATCCCCTATCAGGCTTTCAGCAGATTTCTCAGCAGAAATCTCACAGGCTAGGAGAGAATGGAAAGATATATTCAAAATACTGAAAGACAAAAACTTTCAGCCAAGAATACTCTATCCAGTGAAACTATCTTTCAGATACAAAAGAGGAGTAAAAGCTTTCCCACATAGACAAAAGTTGAGGGAGTCCATCACCACTAGACCTCCCCTATAAGAAATGATCAAGGATGCCCTCATTCCTGACACAAAAAGGCAAAGGTATACAAAGCTTTGAGCAAAGGGATAAATAGACAGACAAATCAGAAAACTGTGGCTCTCTTTCAGAACAGAGTAGCAATTACTTACTTATAACTTAAAGGATAAAGGGAAAGAAAGCATCAAAAGTAACTAAAAACACTTCAACGTAGTCACAAACTTACAACACAAAACAGAATAATTTGTGACAACAATAACTCAGAAGAGGAAGAGAAAAGGGCTGGAACCTGCTTAGGCTAATGGAGATAAAAGACTATCAGAAAACGGTCTATTTCATCTATGAGATCTTTTATACAAACCTCACAGTAACCAGTAAAGAAAAAAATCAGAGCAGAGCCACAATATGTAAAAAATGACAAAACCACCACAGAAAACCACCAAAATGAAATGGCAGTCAGAAATATAAAGGAAGAGAAACAATGGAAATATAGAACAACCGGAAAACAAGAGCTAAAATGGCAGTCTTAAGCCTTCATATATCAATAATTACTCTAAATGTAAATGGAATGAATTCTCCTTTCAAAAGACATAGAGTAGCTGGATGGATTAAAAAACAAAACCCAACAATATGCTCCCTCCAGGAAACACAGCTCTAAATACAAACATAGGCTCAGAGTGAAGGGATGGAATATGATACTCCAAGCAAATGGCAAACAAAAGAAGGCAGGTGTTGCCATACTTATATTAGACAAAGCAGACTTCAAGATGAAAAAGCCAATGACAGACAAAGAGGGACAGTATATAATGATAAAAGGGACTTTCCACCAAGAGGACATAACACTTGGGAATATATATGCACCTAATACAGGAGCACCAAAGTATGTAAAGCAATTGTTAACACACCTAAGGGAGAAAGTAACAGCAACACAATAATAGTAGGGCACCTTAACACCCCACTTACATCAATGGGTAGATCAGACAGAAAGTCAACAA